TTGGACTTCATTTTTATAAAACATTTATTAAATGTGTGAGCACTTTCCATGTATTAACACATTTAATCCTCACAACATTCTTATGAGGTAGGCATTATTACTATGATTTCCTTTTTACTGAGGACGAATCTAAGGTTCTACCCAATAGCACATCGAAGAGCCAGGATTTGGACCCAGAAGGTCTGGCTCCAAAGCCAAAGCAACCAAATGCTGTGGTAAACTTCTCTCAGGGAGCTTCGTTTTAAAACAGCATCTCGGGCTTCCCTGGTGGCGCAGTGGTTGAGAGTCCGCCTGCCGATGCAGGGGACACGGGTTCGTGCCCCGGTCCATGAAGATCCCACGTGCCGGCTAGGCCCGTGAGCCATGGCCGCTGAGCCTGCGCGTCCGGAGCCTGTGCTCCGCAACGGGAGAGGCCACAACAGCGAGAGGCCCTAGTACCGCAAAAAAAAAAAAAAAAAAAGAAAAAAAGAATAAACCAGCATCTCAGGTAATTCTGATGCAGGCACAATGGAATAGGGTTTGAGAAGACAGTTATCTGATAGGTATAAGTAAGCTGAATCCAGTCAGTGGTTCTTAAACTTTAGCATGCATCAGAATCCCTGGAAGGGCTTGTTAATACACAGATCGCTGGTCCAATGTCCAGAGTTTCTGATTCAGTAAACCTGGGATTGTCTCTGAGAATTTGCACTTCTAACAGGTTCCCAGTTGAAGCTGATGCTGCTGACCAGGGGACCACATGTTGAGAACCACCAGTCTAGACTAGAATATGGAAAAACTTGAATATTAGTGTGAAGAAATTTGGGTTTTATCCAATGAAGGGTGTGTGTGTGTGCATGTGCACGCATACTTTGTTCTTAATTTTTTGACTAGAATAACATTACATGATATGACATTCAAAAAGTACAAAAGGTGTACAACAAAAGCAAGTCTCCCTATTTACTCTATTGCCCAGCCCCCAAATTCTCCTCCCCAAAGCCATGTACATTTCCAGTTTCTTGTGTGTCCTTCCATGCTTAGGGAATAGAGGGAAGCACAGTTTTTAGCATTCAGATACCTAGAATGCTTATTTTCTTGTTATTATAGCAGTCTAGTAAGTAGATTACTGGAATTTACCATCTAGGATATTGCTATCATATAAACTAAACATCTGGATCAAAGAATTAGAATGTTAGACATAGGTGGAAATTACAAATGAAGAAACTAAGCCACTGAGAGTTTAAATAATTTGTCCAAGTTCACACAGTAAGTGGCGTAGCCAGGGTTCACACCCATGCTATTTGACTCCAAAGCCAGTGCTCCTTGCATTATTCCTCAGGAGTTTGAGGCCCATAGGAAAGAAGGGATTTACCCAGCTTTGCATAGTTACTTAGACTCTCTGAGTCTTTCTCATTGACCATATTCTATGATGGAATGACTTTTTAAAATATCCATTCAAATTTTTGAGATTTTATTGCTTTTCTCCAAAGCTACAAAGCTAAGAGAGAGTAGGTTTAGCATATGGTTTCTCTTCCTATGGGAGATCTTTTACCTTTAGAGCAATGGGGCTCTTAAATGACCCAATATTACAAAATGTGTGACTAAACTATAACATATATTAAGAAGCATTGTAGGACCCAGCAATCCCACTACTGGGCATATACCCTGAGAAAACCATAATTCAAAAAGACACATGCACCCCAGTGTTCATTGCAGCACTATTTACAATAGGTCATGGAAGTAACCTAAATGCCCATCGAGAGATGAATGGATAAAGAAGATATGGTACATATATACAATGGAACATTACTCAGCCATAAAAAGGAATGAAATTGGGTCATTTGTAGAGACGTGGATGGACCTAGAGACTATCATACAGAGTGAAGTAAGTCAGAAAGAGAAAAACAAATACCATATATTAATGCATATATCTGGAATCTAGAAAAATGGTACACATGAACCAGTTTGCAAGGCAGAAATATAGACGCAGATGTAGAGGACACATGTATGGACACCAAGCGGGGAAAGGGGGGATGGGGCGTGGTGGTGGTGGGATGAATTGGGAGATTGGGATTGACATGTATACACTAATATGTATAAAATAGGTAACTAATAAGAACCTGCTGTATAATAAATTAATTAATTAAATTAAAAAAAAAGCAACATAGGTCAATTAGCAGCTTAGCTTTGAAATCTGATAACTTCTCTCAGCCTCTGTTTCTGCATCTGTTGATGGGGAGATAATACACATTGAATAGTGTTGATGGGGCCTTTAAATAAGAATACATGTAAAGCATCAAACATGGTATCTGGCACAATATGAGCACACACAAAAAGTTGTTTGTTACTATTTTCATTACACATTCAATTATTAGAGTGGCTGGAACTCCTAGGCACAACTTAAGATCAACAAAAAAATAACCAATTTTATAAGTCATTTGGCACAAAAGTCATGGAATCCATTTCAGCTGTGAAAGATGTTGACAAATGAATTCTTTCAGCAATTTTTACTAGTTGGACTATTAAAAATTACCAAAGATAAGTCTAACCTATTGAAACATTCGATGTGCAGAATGAGAATATTTTTGGTCATTGCAGCTGATCTGAACATTTTGGTGCACAGAGTTCTAGGTAGAATGTCTCATAATAAAATAAAGACTACTTCACTACTTACAGAACGCTTTCTGCATGTGATCTGGGGCGCCATTAAATAGGGTTCTAATCAAATTTTATCTCTAGCCTTGAGCTAATCTCTGATCTATCAGTTCTGAATTCCCTAAAGAAAGCAAAGCCATTATATCATTATTATTATTTTTACTTCATACAGATTGTTTATTAAGGTATACTATAAAATTTTAGAAATTTAGTTTATCTTTTGCCACAAGTGCTACCTTGAAGTGAGAACACATTAGACAATGGCTGTCACAATTTTACCATCCAAGACATGATGTATTATAGAACTGAAATCTTCAAACTTTTTCATTTTAGGAACTCTTTATACTCTTAAAAATCATTGGTAATCTTAAAGTACTTTTTTTAATATGGTTTATACCTATTGGTATCCATAATATTATAAATTTAAAGAGGCATTTAAAAATAGTTATTATTCATTCTTAAATAACAATAATAAACCCATGACATGTTAATGTAGGTAACACAGTTTTATAAAAGTAAGTATACTTTCCAAAACAAAAAACTTTAGTGAGAAGAGTGACATTTTTATTTTTGTGAATCTCTTCAATGTTTAGCTTAACAGAAGGCAACTGGGTTCTCATATCTGCTTTGTATTCAATTTGTTGTGGTATATTGTTTTGATTAAGTTATATATAAAAAAGTCCAAACTCACACAGATAGGTAGTTGGAAAAGGGAAGAGTATTTTCATGGTCTTTTTGGATAATTGTGATTGTTCTTTGATACTACACCCAAACTCAACAAATCACAGTCTTTTTAGGGGATACAGTAATTGCAATGTAGAATCTGAAATACTTCAATGAACTTTTCTTACTTTTCATACCAATGTGTTAAAATCAACTAATCTTTTTGCACTTTGAATGGGTCTATTTCTCATGTGTGATTTTGTAGCTCATGCATTGGTCATTTGGAAAGTGTTGCTTCACTGAGTTGAAAAGATTTTCCAAATGTTGACACATTTTCATATTACAATATCAACAAATCACATTCATTATTACACCAGTGATATCACACCAGTCTTATCAGAAAAGGCTTTAAATATTGGGAAGCTGTCAGACTCACAGTGGCAGATACAAATTTTCCAAAATTCTAATTTTTACTTGATAGCTCAAATTTCACTGTTGGCAACAAATTCTGTCAGTTGTTTTCCTTGAAGTGGCAAGCTCACTTTGTTCATTTTTGACAAAATGTCTGCCAAATACTCAAGTCTGAGTAACCACAGTTTGTCAGTCATTCTTCCTCTTTTTAAAATAGACTTTATTTTTATAGCCGTTTTAGGTTCACAGCAAAACTGAGCAGAAGGTAGAGATTTCACATATACTTCCTACTGTTTTTTTATTCTGCCTTTTTTTATTGTAATAAAATATAGTCATATAGTCCATTTCTTTAACACTTCCCTTCATGGCTTTATATGAATGTCAAAACATCAAATTGTAGACTTTAAATATATGCAGTTTATTGTACATCAATTATAGCTAATAAATCTGTTTTTTTTTAAAAAAGCTAGGCTTTCTCCCCACCACCCCAAGTACACTCAAATCTGTTAAATTATGGATTTATATAATTCTTCACATGAAATGTGGGGCAAGATTCCTGTAGGATGGCCTTACAAAAATGTTAGAATAAAGACAGCTTATTGATTTCTCACTTTACACAAGTTGTAAACAAAAGAACTTCAGTGCAACACTGATAATAATATACATATGTTTCTTAAAGAACTGTAAATCAAACATTAATGGCAACATAAAATTAGAAATAAATCACTATCAAGTAAATGGAATATAGTTTGTCCTTAAAAGGCAATGATGACCTTTCACCTTGCAGCTTTTTAAAATGCAAGCTAAAACAGATGCTTATCTCTGTAAAGTCTAAAAATACATTAAGTTTCCACAAATATCAAATTTTACTAACAGTGTAACGGTAACATATACATAATGCAGATCTTATAAAAATTGATTTGATTTTGTAAGACATAAGTGAATTTAGAGCTGCTACTCAGTCAAAAACATCAAATTAATAGTATCTGGAAAATTACAGGCAATGGTATAATTGAAGGTCTGGGTAATCACTTTGCTTATGAAAGTGATGGTTAAGTATTTCTTATGATATTATCAATATGTAGTTGGGTGTCAATGCAGTGTCTAAATATAAAACTAAATTAAGATAAATTATATACAAATATATAACTAAATAAAATGTGGTCTAAAATGAGTTTACATATGAACAAAATTATTGATAACTCTAGCAGAAAATGTGTGAAAGTAGAAAACTCAATATATTCTTTTGTTTCTGGCTTTAGAGAGACTGACTGGTATGAAACTTTGTCACTTACTTTCCGATTGTATTGGGTAGCATTGTAAGTTGATTGTCATCTACTTTTAGAGTAGTTAGTTTTTTCAACAAACCTAAAACAGAGAAGAAGATATATTAATATATAAGAATAGATTTCTGACAAAAAATACAATATAAAAGGAATCGCTTTTTATGAGTTGTAATCCTAATCAAACTACTGCCCCTGCCCACCAGTGGAGCCAGAGGAGGGCTGACAGTCTCAACATCACTTGATTGGGTGATGAGTGTTTGTCATGCTAATTGGCTGCACTCTGCTTTATCAACCTACAAACTGGTATTCGTGTGTCTAGTTTTAACCTTCCAGTTACAAAAATTTTACTTACATCAATGAGAGTTCAAGTACATTGGTGGAGACAATAAACAAAACATAGGGCTCCACAGAAACCTGAGCTGGCAGTACTACTACCACATTTCCCTTTTCTATTATGCAGCAAATGGACCAGATGAAACTTTTCAAGCCAGCTGTGTTTGGTATTTTACTAACTCATAAGCACTAATAACTAACATTCCTGTTGTGATACAAATTGAAAACAAATCTGAATTAAGCCTAATAATCAACAAATGGGTACTGAAGTAATGCAGTGTAGTGGTTATAATTATCGACTTGGAAAATTACAATGTATGACTTCATACTCTTTCTGTTACCATAAATCCCTGACTTGGATCAGCAGTAAGCACAAAAACTTGTAGCTTTTAATCTATCAAGTAGAACTGGCCAAGAATTGATGTTCCAACTATTTATATTTCACTGTCTAATTTATGCCCTCCATACCTTTACTGCTTGATCTACTCCTACTCCCAGGGTTTTAAAGAGCAAAAACCACAGAGTAATTGAAGAACAGCTTCCTTTACCCGGCCGTAACAGAACCCATTGTATCAATATGGCTTAAATAGCTAAAATCCGAGACAAAGCATTAACAGTGGCTAATTTTTGTTTTACAGTGGAATATAGATATACACTATAGACGACTTGTTTTGCAGAAAACTTGTTCTGATGGATATAGTAGCTTCCATGGTTGAATGCGTTTGGGAAATCAAAATTAAACAAAATCAACCATATTTCTTTAATGAAGTTTTTCTAGGAATTTGTAATATACTAATGTAACAGGGTGACGGTAAAGTTATTGGGCAACTTGTGTGTATGCACAGAGTATCTTGTATAGTGGTGTTTTGCGAACATGCTCTCAGAAGCACTGCTATAGCTCATGTCTACCCACCTCAAGTATTTTGAGCATACCTTAAAGGCAAAAAGTAAGTCACAAGAAGTCTGAAATAAAGCTATTGTTGCACTTTAAGTTTCACTATGCTCAGTTACGTATTCTGCAGAAGCACTCAGAATTTCTGCTCTAGTGGAGAGAAATGTTATCACTACCAGACTGCTGTGAGAAAATACCTACAATATTTGGAGATTAATACATCAGCTTGTGCTGTTAGGAGACATGGCTGAAAACAGTAGCACCTGAGAAAGAAGACAATTCTCACTGGGGTAATTTATCTCTGAAATTTGAATACCCACTGCCATATTCATCTATGCTCAAAGGGTGGCTGAATCACTTTAGCTTCTCTGGTGCATATGTAAGAAACTATAGACCTTGGAAATATAAAAGAACTCCTAAGCTTGTTCATCAATTGTGAAAAGACAACAGGGGACTATGAATTACAGCTAAATGAGTTGTAGTCCTGATCAAACTACTGCCCCTGCCCACCAGTGGAGCCAGAGGAGGGCTGACAGTCTCAACATTGCTTGATTCGGTCACGAGAAATTTTGGGCTGGGTTACAGATGGCTCTGCAAACATGAAACCAGGTTGCAAAGCAGTCTTTAAGAGAATCACAGTTCCTAGGTCTGAAGTAGTGGTGAGAAAATTTCGAGGCAGGATAGGGATTAAGGCCAAAAGATTGATGCAACAGATTTTTTTTTGAAGAATGGAGTAGTGGCTCTGACAATTGACAGAAGCTTCTATAGCTTTAAAGGTTGAAGTGAGTTAGGGCTCCCTTCTTAGTTCCACATCTGTGGACTTAAGGGAACTTCACTCATTTGTGGTGTGGCTACTTTGTCACTCACATATTCCAGCCAAGGGTGTGCCCTTTGGACACATTCTGGAGCTTCGGTAGGAATCTGGTTGTCCTTGGAGTGGAAATAGGCCACCAGCCTCAGCTCTGTTGCTCATGACTTCCTCTTGCAGATAAATACTACATAGCTATATCATATCTGCTTGGACTCTCTTCTACCCTCAGGCACCAAAGGTACTTTATCCTATTTCTTCCTCAATTCCCCACCTCTTTATCCTATATTACCAACTCAGATATACTGAAGAGAAAGAAAAAGGAGGCTTTTTTTGCTATTTTAGCTACTTACATATAAATATATAATAAGCAGCAATGTATTAAACATTAATATCAAAAATAGCTAATATTTACATGGCATTTACCCTAGATAATATAATTTTGAAGGCCAAATGGCTGTGCACTCATCATATCTAAGATTATAATGATTATTATATTATTATAGTACCTAACATTGATTGAACATTTACTATGTGCCAGGTACTGTTCTAAGCAATTTTACATATATTAATTCATTTATTTCTCAAAATAATCCCTTGATGCAGGTACTATTACTTCCCCACTTAAAAGATGATAAAACTGAGGCACAGAGAGTTTAAGTAGCTAGTGTAAAGTCACACATTTAGTAAGGTAGAAAAGCCAGACTTCGAACTCGGGTAGCTTGACTACAAAACCTGTGTCTTTAACCACTAAGTGAATAAGATAAATTATTTTGGAAAGTAAAAAAATTATATTCTCCTTTACTGAGTTTCTCTGCTATCCAAAGAAGCTGATTATTAAAGCTCCATCTTGAAAATGTAAAGAGCCCCCTTCATTTTCCCTGCAACCAGCACAAGGAAAGGGACTCAGCATACAGGGTTCATTGTTGAATATATCACTCTATTCAAATACCCCACAACTGCAGAATTAAAATAGGTGTAAAGGAAGCAAAGATTTTATTTTAGTTGCTATTTCCCTTTATTAATACTGTGACGTTTCTTGTCTTTGATTCTTTTAAATGTTGGTAGTTCAATAGATGATCCATGCTCAAATAAACAAGAAGAGATGCAATTTACCATCCAATCAGAATCAACAAATTACTTTAGGACCTTTGAACAGAGTTCCCAGGTATTTCTCTTGACCAAGAAGGAAATTCTTAGAGGAAAGTCAGCCATTCTATGTGTATAATCAGGTACTCTGGCAACTCTGCAGATGTATAAATGCAATTTTCCCTAAAAGGTCAATAGGGTACAAAGATAGTTCCAGGAGTAAGCTACTAACAAGTTACTTTCTTAATTTGAGAACCACTCAGATTCTAAGTGAAGGTGTTAAATATGTTATACCACCTGCCTGTGCTGGTCTGTTTTATCATCCTAGGATCTAATCTGATATTTTCTACCATCTATACATGCTGCCTTCCCCAGACCAGAAGGCTAATTCCCTAGTCTGCTTTCTTAATGGAAGATATTTTAAACAAATAATCTTTTATTTCACTATGTGACATTTTCATTTCCAGAATTTCTAATTGGTTCTTTTTTATAACCACTTGTTCGTAGTCATAGCTCCTGTTTGTGTTTTATAAGTTATTTTTATTTTTACAAATGTTATTCTTCCTTTTATCTATTTGAGGATCTGCATCCACTTAAAATTTTTTTTTTACATTGCTTGATAATTTTGGTTTCCCTTGGGGTAAATTTTCCTATTGTTTGAGTTTTGGGTTGTTGTAACATTAGTTTTCCTTTAAAATTTTTGTTTTCATGCCCATTTGTGAGGGTGAATATTTTTTCCTTACCTATGCTCACCCCTCCCTGTCTGGCACTCTTATGGTTACCTCCACCTGACCCTCAAGTTTCTGGAGTTCAGAACGAGTCTTATATTAGCAACATGGTACTCTCATTTGATGTGGATATTGCAGATTCAGTCCAAACCAGCTTGTGACGGGCCATAATTTTCAGCAGTGAATCTGTATCTGTTCTCTCCTTCCACCCTAGCTCTACATATTAGTTGCAGGTTTTTTCAAGTCTCTCTTTGCAGAAAAGGGTCCCTTCCCTGCCTCAGTCCCTGTAAGTCTGTATTCTTCTGTTATGCTTAAGGTCTTTTTTTTTTTACTGCAGGAACAATTTATGGCTGCCACTTCTGTTTGTGGTCTGAAGCCCATCAGTCAGGCCTGGGGTCATTGGGTCATTGCTGTGTTCCCATTATGTCTCAAATCCAGGTATATGTTCATTCTTCTTAAGCAGGGTAAAATTATTTTATTTACTAAATAATTAAGGAGCACTTACCATACACCAGGCATAATTCTTTGTATAGAAGAGGCAGTAATGAACAAAAATATGTTCTTCTAATATAGTTTTTCCATTCTCATTGTGTCTTTGAAGAGGTATGGAGTGGTGATTGAGTAGGAGAGTAAGATATGTATTTTGACCATATGGTTATCTTGACCAGATGACCATCTCTATCATCTTGACTAGAGGATGCTCTTTTAAACTATTATATTTCCTTACCTTCTACAACACTAAATAGTATTTTCTAAGCTTATCTGATCATAAGTTTCATCTAGGATATTTAACAAGAATATAGAACAGAGGGCTTATTACGCATTTATTGAATCAGACTTTTCACAGAACGAGCCTGGAAATGTGGAACTGTTTAATAAAGCTCTCAGATAAGTCTTATGGTGGAAGAAGTTGGAGAAACACTGTTATAAAAATATATAATTATATAAATTAAAAAGTCATCAAATCTACAAAGAAAGAAAAGGCAGCCTGTTCTGTTAAAACTAGTATTCGCTATTAGCCTGAAAGAATAGTGAAAATGGAAGCAATAAAATATTGAAGAAAAATTTGCGAAACTGTTTTGTCTTCTAACTTCCCTTCAATCAGGCTACCTAGGTTGTGACTCAATTTTTAGAAGCATTAATAAGTTCCAGACATATGAAACATCTAATTCAGAGTGTTAAAAACTACATTCCAAAGTTAAGTAGTTTGATGATTACTCTCCTAGCTGTTTCCTCTCATAAATAATAATAATAAGATATACATACAAAAGGTTTACTCATATTTAAATTAGATTCTTTCATTATTTTACTCAGATAAAAAGTTATGACAAAAATAGATTGAGTGGTTAATATATACTAACAGACAAAATATCTGGTCTCATGAATCTTAAATATAAAGGTGAGATGTCTTTTTTGAATAATAGAAATATGAAGATATTTCATATTTATTGTTCTTCCTAATTATATTGATGTTACAATAATATTAAAAATAGAATATAGCCACACTGTGGATAGAAGCTACTGTAATTCTATAGTAATAAAAGGAGACATACATGTTTATCAAAGTACTTAAATCTAAGATATATACTCCTTTTAACAACATTTTACAACTTAGGAGATCTAAAATTATTTAAAATATATCAATTTAGTAGGATCATTTTAATAGGAGAGTCTTCTTGAGTTTGACAACTATAGTAACCATTTCATTTTAAGATATTGGTAAAATATTTCATCACCTTGAATAATGATCATGCTAATTTATTAATATCATGCTTAGAGTATATACCCTACATCTGCGAACAAACTATAGAAAACAGTATATTTGACATAAACATCCGTGATGAGATATTACATTCTCACCTATAGAGTCAGGCAACTGTTGCAACATATTGGATGACAGTAAGAGGTCCTCCAGGGCTTCACATCCAGAAATGTCCAAGTCAACCGTTTCTATTCTGTTTTTTGACATATCCAGGTATACCAACATCTTTAACTTCCCTATAGACTTGATGACATTGCATAAACTCAGGGTTAGTTGAGAAACTTTCAGGAAATATGTTAAAGTTGTAAAAACCACAACACTATAATTTTAAAAGCAAATTCAACAATAACAAGTTTTGGCAAGAATGTGGAGAAACCATAACCCTCATACATTTCTAGGAGGAATGTAAAATTATATAGCCACTTTGGAAAACAGTTTGGCCATTCCTCAAAATATTAAACAGAGTTTCCATGTGACCAGAAATCCCTAGGTACATACTCAAGAATGAAATATACATCCACAAAGAAACACAAATGTTCAAAGCAGTGTTATTCACAACAGGCAAAAAGTAGAAACAACCCAATGTCCATCAAATGATGAACAGTTAAACAAAATGTGGTAGATCCATAAGCTGCAGTATTATTTAGCAATAAAAAGCAATGAAGTAGCAATACATGCTACAAAATGGATGAACCTTGAAACATGCAGTGAAAGATGCCAGTCACAAAAGACCACCTATTGTATGATTCCATTTATATGAATTGTCCAGAATAGGCAAATCTATGGAGTCAGAAAGTAGATAAGGATTGCTAGAGGCTGAAAGGTCAAGAGGAAGGGAGTAACTGCTAATGCTTCTTTCAGTGGTGACGGAAATGTTCAAAATTAGATTGTGGTGGTGCCTGTTCAATTATGTGAGTATTTTGAAAACCATTGAACTGTATACTTTAAATGGGTGAATTTTATGATATGTGAATATATCTCCCAACAGAGATAATACGTTAAAAGATAGCAGCAATAATCTCAAAGTTGCTGTAGAATTAAGTAAATTGAAAGAAAGAAAGAAAAAGAAAGAAAGAAAGAAAGAAAAAGGAAGGAAGGAAAAGAAAGGAAAAAAGTTGCCACCTAAACAACATATGCTGACATTCTGATTCTTACAATTTCAAATGCATAAGAAAGGTATTAAATCGTGATTTGGACTTCATCTTACTACACAGAATCAATCTGTTCCTTCAACAGTTCTTTTGAGGATCTACTATGTACCAAGGCTTTTGTTATATACTGGAGAACAATCATGAATAAGTCAGCTATGTGAGGGAAGAGACTTGACATGATATAGATAAAGTCTTTAAGGTGCTTATAGCAGTGAAGGAAACTGTCAAATAAATAACTATAGTACCCTATGATATGTACAATAAAAAAAGCATGTAGAGAATGCCCTAGAAACAAAGGGATGCAAATTGCCTGGAAGGCACTGCTGTCAAGAAAAGGAGAAACTGTACCTGGAAGAGAGAACAGCACAGAGAAGTGTGAGGAAGCGTGGTGTGTTTGAGGGAGAGTGGGAGATTCAACGTCACTGAATACAGTGATGAAATTAAGCATCATAAGAAGCCAGCTGTTAAACGGCCTTTCCTGTCATGTGAGGATTACATGATCTCTATCTTATAGGCAAGGAGAGCTATTCAAAGTTTTTAAGATGGTGAATGACATAATCAGATTTGTGTTTTGAAATAATGACTTCAGGGAAATGTGAAGGGAAGATTCATGACTGGGGTTAGAGTAGATCTGAAAGGATTAGAAGGATTTGGAAGCAGTTTAGCTGAGGAGATGAAAGGGACCTGAGTTAAGGCAGCAGAAGTGAGGATGCAGAGGGGATGGCTCGAGAAAAATTTAGATGTGAAATGATTGGATTAGTAACTGATTACTGAGGACAGGGGAGGAATCAGGTCATACATTGGGCAGGGAGTGAATAGTGATTGTTTAGCTTGGACATGTACTATGGGAATTAGAGCAAGATAAAATCCTTCATTTTCCTTTTCTTTAAGGGCATGATTTGCAAATAAATGTCCCACATATATCTGTGTTCAATGGGTCATCTGCTTGTTGGTCTACCTGTATACAATTTACTATACTGTCTCTACTTATTTGACAGAGTATAAACACAAATATTGCATAAACAAATTTATTACGCAAGCTCACACTTGGCACTGTGCTAAGTACTTTATACATATTACTTGACATAATACTTTATATTCTTGCTGCTCAGAGTGTGTTTTATACAGCAGCAGCATTGGTAAAACCTGGGAGTTTGTCAGAAATGTGGAATCCAGACCCACTCCAGACCTATTGAATCAGAATCTGCACTTGGACACACATTAAATAAAGCTTAGAGGTTAAGAAATGTCACACGCTGGTTTCCCTGAGAATTGGAGACAAAGAGAAATTTATGCGAGAGATTCTTAGGATTAATACCAGGGGAAAGAAAGAGGGAAGGAAGGAAGCAGGATTGGACAGATGAAGGTAGGCTATGATGAAGTTTTGAGGAATTCCTCAGCTGACCCTTCAAATAGTATTGAAGTAGAGGGGAAGGGGCCAGGCCTTCAGAGTCTTATTCGATTGATCATGGGATGCAGGTCTCCTGGAATAGGGGTGTAACCCTGCATGAGAAAGTTCTCTCAGCTGAGGCAATTCCTGAAGAGGGTGGAGAGCTGCAAGCAGCATGCCCAGAAGCTGGGGAGTTCATCTAGGAGGATGATGCATGACAGGATATACTACAAGTAACATTCCAAAGTTGCCCCATTAAATAAGGGGTGGAGCTAAAATTCAAACTCGTTTTTACCGGAATTCAGACTGCAAAGCCTACCGATTACATTAGCGCTTTCTGACTGATGCCTTAATTAACTCAGCTCATATCTCTAGCCCTGCTCCTCCAGTTCCCCATGTGGGCAGAGGACGAACACAGTCTTAGAACAGGTGAATAGTTGCTAGCCTCGGAACTGGGTACTCCGGGTGAGTCAGGCCATGGGGCTGAGTTTCTCCTCATGCCTAGAAATATGTTCCTTGGAAAAATACTGTCACTTTACTTACAGCTCTCCACCCCAAGGAACTATTATGTTACCTTAGCTCATCTCTTCTGATGAGCATAGAAAGAATAATATATGTGATTATGTGTCTATGTGTGTGTGTATTTCTTTTTTTGTTTCATTACGATGAGAAAATTTCTTTTCTCTTTGAAGCTTCCTGAATTGCTATCTCCAGCAAACTCAATAAATATTTTGGTGTGAAGTTTCTAAATATCTTTTTTTGGAAGCAAAATAACAATTTGGTGTTTATTTTTATCTTTCTAAAGCCTTACTTTCAAGCATCTTATAAAAGCAATAGTAGCCTGGAGTGATAAAGGCCTTTGAGGCCCAATGTCTCAGAGTTCTTGAGGATGCTGAATGTTGCTCCAACATCTCTCTGAACATAGAGGGGCCTACAGATGAGTGGTGGGCAACAAATAAAATGTGGAAGCCATCACAAGCAAAAGGAGATATTGGAGTTTGCTGTTTAGTCATATTTTGGTTGATTGATCTTAGAGTGATGGCCACAAGACAGAGCTCTGTAGCAAACTAATGTTTGATCATTATCTATTTGCTTCTCTGATTTATGAAAAACAGTGGAAAAATGAAAGCCCAGGCTTCCAAAAGTATTTAAAAAGTATATTAGCTTAATGTATTTTGGTACATGAACTAAAAATAAAAAGGAACTTGCTTTTTTCCCTGTGTCTTATGACAGCAGTCCCCAACCATTTTGGCACCAAGGATTCGTTTCGTGGAAGACAATTTTTCCACAGACCGGGGCGGGGGAGGGGGGATGGTTTTGGGATGATTCAAGAGCATTACATTTATTGTGCACTTTATTTCTATTATTATTACATTGTAATATATAATGAAATAATTATACAACTCACCATAATGCAGAATCAGTGGGAGCCCTGAGCTTGTTTTCACTTGCCACTCACTGATTGGGTTTTGATATGAGTCTGCAAGCAATCGATTTATTATGATCTCTGTGCAGTCAAACCTCTCTGCTAATGATAATCTGTATTTGCAGCTGCTCCCCAGTGCCAGCATCACTGCCTCAGCTCCACCTCAGATCATCAGGCCTTAGATTCTCATAATGAGCTCACAACCTAGATCTCTTGCATGCACAGTTCACAGTAGGGTTCGTGCGCCTATGAGAATCTAATGTCGCTGCTGATCTGACAGGAGGCGGAGCTCAGGCGGTAATGCCAGTGATGGGGAGTGGCTGTAAATACAGATGAAGCTTCGCTCGCTCACCCACTGCTCACCTCCTGCTGTGTGGCTTGGTTCCTAACAGGCCACGGACCGGGACCGGTCCACGGCCCAGGGGTTGGGGACCTCTGTCTTATAACACTAAATATTTAGGATTAATCATCCTGTGAAACTGACAGACATGGGCTGAAGACTGCATTCAAGATTAGCCTTTCAAAGTCAAGCATTTCTAGGTAATTGCATAACAACTAATTGCCAGCACTGGACATTCAGAAAACCATGCCTGTTTAGGGTAGGGAGGCGTGGGGTATTCCCACAAAGAGCATCACAAAATGTGGAATTCAAGTGTACTAACTAAAGTGAGAAATCCACTTAAACTTGGCAGTATATAATAAAAAATCTACTTTTGAAGCAGAAAAAATTAGGCAGCACTGTTTTACAGAAGATTTAATCACTACTTTTCCATTTAAATAATACACTAACTAAGGGATTAGAGGTCTGAGTTGATTTCCAAGGTTGGATTTTGGGAATGGAGTAACTGTAAAAAGTAAGATGAGCCTAATTCTCATTTATACCTTCTATTGATTCTATAGCAACAGAATTTTGGAGCATCAGAGGAACAAAAGCCTCTGGAGCTGGTATGAATTACAGACCCACCATTTACTGGCTGTGTGACCTTGGCCCAGTTACTTACTCTTTCTGTTTCAGTTTCCTCATCTATAACATGGGGTTGGTAATAAATCTGCTTCACAGGGTTGCCATGAGAATTTGATGAGTCATTTGTAAAATAGCTAGATAGTGCCTAGGCCATGATAAATGCTATGTAAATGTTTTTGAATAAATGAATACACTGAAGAAGCAGGTATACACTTTTCCAACTAGACATACATTCTGTTTCCTCAGTATTTGCATAAGGGATTGATCACTGTCTTACTTGTTGCCCCAGGGTTAGTACATACCTTGAATATGATACAAATCAGTCTCTGCTATGTGTAGTGGAATACAGATTTGTCTCTCATGTTTTATGTGAGCCCCTCAAACAAATATATTCAAGGTCATTGAGTATATTATTTTTGTAACCCTGACATTAACATGGTTTCTAGTTCATAGAGGTATATTTGTGGTTTCAAATGGTTTTTCTTTTCTTTTCTTTTTTTTTTTGCGGTGCGCGGGCCTCTCACTGCTGTGGCCTCTCCCGTTGCGGAGCACAGGCTCCGGACGCGCAGGCTCAGCGGCCATGGCTCACGGGACCAGCCGCTCTGCGGCATGTGGGATCTTCCCGGACCGGGGCATGAACCCGTGTCCCCTGCATCGGCAGGCGGACTCTCAACCACTGCGCCACCAGGGAAGCCCTCAAATGGTTTTTGAATAAAGCAATAAATAGAAAACATGCATGCTTTTCTGTTTTGCATTTGTGATGATAGTAGAAATGTATTCCTTTGGTGAGAGGAGAAAGTATTTTTTCCCTAATCTTTTGTCATATTTTCTTCTTTATGTAGTCCCATGTTTGCTAAAAAGAGAATAAGCTTCCTGTTCTTGTTGCTTTTGCAATCATTTAAAAAAAATTAAATGTTAATTCAAACAAGGAATAAGTTTGACTTTGGGAATATACATCTAAATCTCAGTGGCTGAAGAATTATTACACAACCAGCTGCCCTGGCTTCTTAGCCCAATGCAAGGAGTTTAGAGTTGGCTTTCACCAGAGACCCTTGTGGTTGTTGTTGTTGTTGTTGGTGGTGGTGGTGGTGGTGTGTGTGTGTGTGTGTGTGTGTGTGTGTGTGCATGCTTATATTCAAGTGCCTGTGTTATGAGTGGTAAGAAGCAGTGTTTTATGGAAAGCCATTCTCTCACTGGATGAAAAAGGAATGAATAGTCACACCCAATGAATTGACTGATAAACCTACTTTTCAGGAGGCATTATTGGATGTTCTGTTAGTTGAGAAGAAAAATCGATTCTAGTTTAACTTTCTATTTTTAACAATTTATGCTCCTTGCCTTTTTCGAAAACTCAAATATGTTCTATTGGAAATCACCTGAACCAAGAGAGAGAGATTTATTTTGTGCAAGAGCTCTAACAATATGAGCAGAAACCATTATCTAGTTACCTACAAGAAGGTTGATTTTGTAAAACTAAAACTTGGTATTATATATAGCATTGTTTTTCATTTAACAATATGAATTTTTCAGCTTTTGAAAAACAGTAAATAGGGAAGGAGATGAAAAATATACTCCTAAGAGAACACTAAAAATTTTCATACATTTTGCACACCTATAACACTCATAAAAGTTATATGAAATATTAAAAAAACAAATTAGTGAAAAACACTTGATGATGGAACACTCCTAACAAATGTTTAACTTTGAAATGAAAACACTGGGATTTAAGATGTAAGATTAATCATTATCAGTTACAATTAATATACAACATAGATGCTAGACAACATGGCATAATAAAAACTTACATACCCCAGGTAGCACCTGCAATGCATTATTATCCATCCACAGCTCCCTTAGATTTTGTATTTGATCCAGAACTTCAGGCTAGGAGAGGAGTAGGGAGAAAAGAGAGAGGAGAAGAAAACTAAATTAGTCTTTTCTTGTCACAATACAATATGTAATTTCTTGGATCTGGAACTTTGATTTGGGAATCTAGTGTTAATCCTATAAGAAATTCCAAGTTTAACAGACCTCTTCCAGCAAAACTGGTAATCCCTGAGGTAGCCAACCTAGAATTTATGTGGAAACAATCAGAACAACAATAATAAAAGTTAAAATCTATTACTCTCCCTTAACACCCTACAATTATCCTTTGTAGTATTTATTATACTCTACTCTGTCTTCTTCACTAGAGTATAACTTTTTGAAGGGCAGAGTAATGTTTGGTTTTTAATCACTGTATCCTCATATCCCCATTGTTTGCCATGATACTTGGTAAATAGTAGGTTTTTATCATATGTGTGTATTAACACCATACACACAAACATCTTCCCCGCCTCGCCCAGCTCCCAGGCATTACATTACCATGATGTGATAACAGTATAAACCCACTTTCTTATCTTTTCATTTACTCAACAAATAATTAGTTGTTGAATAGTGAGGATGCCTACTACGTGAAACACACAGTGCAGGATACACAGTTATTCAAACTCAGTTCCTGCCTGGAAGTAGCTGATGATCTAATTGGGGAGACAAATGCATATAAATAACGAAAACACAAGGCGTCATATGGGAGAAAAGAATAATGTAGAGAAGTCCAGAGAAAAAAGAGATAATATAATCAAGGTGTAACCTACAGTGCATAATGAAACACTTTAACTCCCTAACTAGAAGCTGTCTCTAGCTTCTATCTCCTGGGCAGCAGACTATATAGAGAAGATAGAGGTTGCTATTGCTGCCAGCATCATTTCTTGATTTATGATGACCTCTTGCTGTTTTCTTTTCAGAAATCAACCCCTCCCTCACCCTAAGGCCACCTGCTTCCTTTGAAGTTGAATCCTTTTTACCACTTCAGGGAACTGACAAAGGCCTAAGCTAATTAGTGCATCATCTTCACCTGGCCACAGGGTTTGGCTCAAGGATCCATTCAGAGCAGATGAGAAGAAATGGTTCTCTGACTGGGACTTCTGGGGAAAAGACTTGCTCTTGCCTGCTGGATTTGAAACTGGAAGGGTACAGCCCTGGGGGCTTCAGGCATGAGGAAAGGGGGAAAGCCTGTTTGAGTTAAAAGATGGATCCTGATGACATCATATAAGTCTAGAATTAAGCCACACCTGAAGTCAGATTTTTTTGTCTCTTCCAACTGAAAAAATTATCATTGAAAGAAGATACAACCATGGTTTAATAAAATTTGAGACCTAATTAGGAAAACCAGTGTATTTGATAGAATACTTGTGGAAAAGAATGTAATTGTACCAATGTTACTATTAGGCTATTGATAATTGTGGGTCAGTACAATACACTTCAGAGACTTCCAGGACTACTTTGGCAATAGTCTCTGATACCTTTAGCCTGCAATTGCAGTGGAACGTGGTACTATTCCTGGGAGAAGTTTCATTTATAACAAGCATCAAAACTTAAGTTACGACAGGGAAAAAAAGGACTGCATGAGTAAGTGCGGGCGGATACTTTGTGTAGGAAATATTCCACTGTCACTTAGATCATAGGGAACAGGTAGTGAACTACTCCATCTCTGTACTGGAAAACATCGGTCACATGATGCAGTTTTTCTAAGCCCAGGCATCATGCAGACTTTAGGAGAAGAGAAAGAGTTGCATACATGATAAGTTCAACACAACTTTATGTATGTAATAAGATAGAGATTAGTGTATAAACTTGAAACAATGAGCCTTATTCAGGATGGACTAGATTATGCTTTGGTAACAAATTAATCCTGAAACCTCAGTGTCTTAACACAACAGGATTACTTCTTACCCCATGATCTTGTGTTACCTGCAAATCAAGACTTCCAGAAGATCCAAAGCAGAAATGACTATGGAAAACTAGCCACTGCTCTTAAAGATCTCAGGCTGGAAGTGACACTTATCACTTCTGCTTATAGCTCATTGTCCAGAACTGTTTATATGGCCAGGACCTAAGTTTAGGGAAGGCTGGGAAATGTAGGAGGAATTCATGGAATATTTGGTGAACACTACTGCCCCTGCCACACAGTGACACCATATGTGAAAAAGAATGACAAGAAGGAATATATAGTACTTTCATAATTTAGTTATCCCTTCATTCAGTAAGTACTTATTAAACAGCTTCTAAGTTCCAGGCACTGCACTAGAGTCATAATGCATGGTATGGTCTCTGCCTTCAAGAAACCCATGGTCTATTTCTTGAGCAAACATACAAAGAACAAATACATGACATTATGGGAATATAAAGAAGGGGGAACCTATATGCTTTAGTATTGAGGGAAACCAGACATGGATTCATGGAGCTGAGATATGAAGGAGCTGGTCAAAGGAGAGGAGAGGAGAGGAAACACATTTTAGCCAGAAGCAGAGTGGTGAGAAACAGCATGGTGTAGGAATGGTAACAACAGGCAGTTTGCTTTACACGATTGTCAAGTTTAAAAAGGAGTAAGTAGCAGAAAATGAGGCTAACAAAAGAAGGTGCCAGTCTGTGAAGGCCTCATGTTTTGTTAGGGAGATGGGACTTTACCTTATGGTCTAGAAGCATAAAAACTTTCTAAAGGAAAGTGATTTTGGCAGATCAATGTTTTGTGTGTATCACTATATCCTGGTGGAAAAAGGAAACAAAGAAACCAGAAAAGCTTATTAGGACTAGTAATAAAAGAGATAATGAATAATACAGAGAAGTTGGATTCAGAAAACGTTTAGAAGATGCATGGCCCCCAGTTTCCCAGTACTTAATAGTGCCACCAATGGAGGTGCAGAATTTGGAGGTAGGAGCAGATTTATGATAGAGACTGAATTTAGTTTTGATCATGATTAGCTTTGGGTTCCTGTGAGACACAGGTGGAGATGTCCAGAAATCAGGTGGCTATTAAAATCTGAAGCTTAAGGAATAGGTCTGTGCTAAGGTTGCACGACTTAGACATCTTGTGTAAATAGAAACCCATGTGGATGAGCTCCCTACGGGGAATGTGAGGGACTTAGAGGTGCAGGTGACCAAGGAAGGAGCCCTGTGCAACACTAACACTTGAGAGTTGAAAACAGAAAGTCCTGCTGGCAAAGCCCATTAACAATTCCTAAGGAATAAACATAGGATCTTGGTAAAGAGGTATTTTAGAGGTAAATACCTCTAAAATACCTCTCACAACGGGTTCTACTGGGGACCCTAGACATCTAAGACAACTAGGAGAGGGATTACTGATGCTAACCTATATTTCTACTTTATTTCAAAAGTTCTCATTTAATTTATTTAATAATATAATAAGGTAATAAGAGTCCTACTTTACAGATGAAGAATCTGATAATCATTTTCTGGGGAAAATGAGAATAGTTTGATGAGGGTTGCATAACTGCAGCTGGGATTATTACTCAAGTCTCCTTGAAAAAAATGACATCATCTTACAGCTTAAGACTGAAATTCTGAAATAATGAAGAATGCTGGTGATCACAAACGCCCAATAAAGAAAGTAAAGCATATGCTGGATTTCTAAAAAAAGATAATATTTTTATTACTGGATGTTATAATAAAATGTGTCACAGGAAATTTCAGCAACTTTCTAATAAAAACAGAGGCAAAATGTATTCAGCAGATCAATACATAACCTTGCTGAAACAACATGAAGATGCAATGACGTCTCATGACCAATAGACAATTTAAAAGTGGATCTTGGAGCTAAACTAAATGGCTTACACCCAACCAAACACATAAATGGCCTTTTTTCATACCGCTTAATTTCATTCTCAAAGTCAATTGTTTGTATTAAAAATGAGTGAATTAAATCAAGAATGGCTTGGCATATTCAATGCTGATGAAGGTGCTGTGAGCTGCGCACTCACATAAACTGCTTTGATGATTATAAATTCATTTGGTCTTTTAGGAAAACATTTTCAAATATGTATCAGTTCTCAAAAGTGTTCACATTTGCTTCGGGGCAACTACCTTACTGAAATCATCTGAAATATGGAAAAATCTTATTGCAGAAAAATTTCATTGTAGAATAATTAATAATATTAAAAAGTTGGTCATGCTTTAAATAAACTACAGCATAAGGAAAGAGATAACCAAATTATGATAAAATATGTTGGTATAGCATACAAAAATGAAAATGAATTATCTATATTTTTATGTAAGATATACCTTGCAAATAATAGCGAATGAAAAACAAGTTTAGAAAATTTGTATAGCACAAATCAATTGAACATAAATTTTAAAAAGTTATATATTTATGAATACATAAACATACAGTAAAAATAGGAATATATAGAATAGATGCACACCAAATTAAAAACATTAATTGTTCTGGGATTGGAGTAAGAGTAGGAAGGAGAACACAAAAGATTTCTACTTGATCTACAGTGTTTTATTTCTTTACAAAAAAGTCTAACTCAAATACAAAAAATAGTTAACATTTGTTCCTTTTGGTTGGCAGGTGTTTAATATATTACTTTAAAATTTTTTATATTTTTATATTTGTTTTCATTTTTAAAACATTAGAAAAATTATGATGGAATAATTTTTTTTCTTATTTGCATTTCTTCTGTATTTTCCAAATTTCCTACAGTATATAGGCATTAATTTAATAAAAAATTAGAGAACATTTCAGTGTCTTGTCTTACATTTACACTTACCTAAACCACTGTGGAATTATCTTTGAAGAGATCTTATTTTTATTAGCTGAAATGAGCTAAGAAAAGGGTTACATCAGTTTTAACAAAAATAGAACATATATTTTCCATGACTACAACAAATTCAAATAACTCCTGTCATGTATATGCAGTTTTATTCTGTTCTCTTGATATGACTATATGTGTTACTTTTATTCCACTAATTTCGATAATAGAGTTTGATCATATTTATCTATACACCTATTAAATTTTTTCTTCCAATGAGGTTAAGAGAAA